CCCTTTGGCGGCAAAACATAGGAGGCCATCCAAGACAGAAAAGGAAGCTCCTAATTTGTTTCTTGTATAAACACTGATTTTTCAGGGATTCTACTGGCTTCAAATATAGTAGGAAAGGTATAAAGGAGGGGTAGTTCTGTTAGCTACCAAAGTTCACTAACCTGTCTTCTGAGAGAAGAGGCCTTAGCAATAAAATGGGACAGCAGAAGAAATAGGAAATGATGGCAATAGGATTCCTTAACTTCAGACCAAGCAAGATGAAACTCAGTACCAGTTTCTTCTTCTAAAATAATCAAGTTACTGTTTGAATGTTAATGGCAGCATCAAGAGAGAAGGAAAATAACTTGAGGCAGAAGAGTGGAGCTGACAGGTTAATAGCAGGGATTGGGAGAAGTCTTCCAGTTATAGAAACGAGAACAGACATTTAGAAAAATATCCTCAGTTAGGAGGACTACAGTGATGAAAATGTGGCAGGGGGAAAAAGCTCTGGATAATTCCTTCAATGCATTTCCATCCCGTCCATACTTTTAGAGCTTTGAAATGTATAAACATCATGCAAGCCATCTCCATTTCCTTTGGGTTGGACCCTGCGGTAGACAGCCACGGCCTCTCCGACTTCTAGGGTTTCCTTTGTCTTTTAATTCTCCTCTAAAATTTTAAAGCCTTTCACAGCCTTAGCTTCTTGTATTTGTGACTGAAGGAATTCTCACTCATAGCGAAGCCGCCTTCTCTTCCCCAAATCTGAGAGCCCTGACCCAAGCTTCTGCTTCTTAGAAGATTCTCATTTTCTGGCCTCTCTTTTATCTACTTCCCTGAATAGTCAGTCAGCTTCCTCTTGCTCCCCATAAATGGGGTTTCCCACCAATATACTGCCTCCTCTCAACTGCTAGATGAAAATGACTCCCAGCTATGCACTAATTTTTCTCCCGGACTCAATTCGGTAGTGCCTTTCTTCCCTCAGTCTTCCTCACTAGTAAACAGCACCTATGTACCCGCTCAAGCCAAAACTTGGATTACATCCTTTCTCTCCCATGTCATATCCAATCCAACTGCAAAGCCCTACTGGTTCTCTCTCTAAAATACATCGTTGATCTACTAAACGTCTCTCCATCTCCACTGCATCAACACTGCCCAGGTCACCCTCACCCCCTAGAGGCCTGCAGCATCTTCCTCCTCATCTGCCTCCACCTCTCCCCTCCTGTCCTCCTACATCCCGTTCTCCACAGAAGCCAGTCACCTTCTACAAATTCATTCACAGAGGTTTACTCTGCCTTGTTCACCACTGTACCCCCATCATCCTCAACAGTGCCCAGGACATTAGAAAATGCTCTGCAAATAACTAAGAAATAACTGCTGGACCCTATACCTAGATTTCTCACCCATGCCTAAATCATAACAGGTCCAAAGCTAAAATATGTTCTCCTCCAAAGTTGCAACTCTTTTTTTGTGTGTGTGAGGAAGATCAGCCCTGAGCTAACATCCATGCCAATTCTCCTCTTTTTGCTGAGGAAGACTGACCCTGAGCTAACATCTGTGCCCATCTTCCTCCACTTTATGTGGGAGGCTGCCACAGCGTGGCCTGACAAACAGTGCGTCAGTGCGTGCCTGGGATCCGAACCCAGGCCACCAGCAGCGGAGCGCGCGCACTTAACCACTACACCATGGGGCCGGCCCAAAGTTGCAACTCTTAAATATTTCTATTTTCCAGTCACCTAGACATGAAACCTTGGGAGTCTTTTACTTTTCTCACATAAATTCAAAATTATTAAATCACAAAAGGTTTTACTTCCACAATTTTTCTCATATCCATTTCCCTCTCAAATATCACTGCCTCTACTTTTAACTAATTATAGCAGTCTCCTAACTGATCCTTTTGTATGTATTCTGAAACATCAATGTTTCTAAACTGCAGCTGATTAAAAAAACAAAACTTCTCTGTTTTTTGGTGTTTTTTAATGTAGAGCACTTCACCCTGCCATTCAAGGCTCTTCAAAACCTTTTCTTCCATTCTATTCCTACACATACCCTAAGTTCTAATTGAACAGGACTATTTGTTGTTCGTCTGGACAAGTTTGATCCTGCTCCCCCATCCCATGTCTTTTCACTCCCAATTACTCATCTGGCATATAATGGCTCAATAAAGTTAGCTGAATGCCTTCTTGTTGAAATCCTGCTCATCCTGAAGAGTTCACTTAAACACCACTTTCTTCATGAAGATTCCCTTAGCTGCCTTCATCCAGAGCCATGCCATTCTCCCTCTTTTTCTAGTCCTTATGGCACTTAAACCTTCCACTTCTTTATAGTCATCTGTGAATCCCTCATTCCTCTGCGAGGCTGAAAGCTAGCGGAATGCTTCTTACTTTGCTTTCATATCTGCTGCAGTATCTAACACAATGCCCTGCACAAAGTAGACATTCAATAAATGTTTGTTGACTTTAACTTCTGTCATTCTAACCCTGGAATTCCACTTTCTACTTCTCTATGGATTCTGTCCTTGCTAAAGAAAAAACCTTTTACCCCATTTGGATGGTAATATTTATCAGATTCCAATTATTCAGTGCTGATGGCTGCGTGAATGAGACCCAGAACAATGTCTCTCCCTAGCTGCCAAACAAAATGTCAAACTCGTCCTTGCTCTTACAGTCTTCAATCAAGAAGCAAAAGCACATGGCTAGGGGTTATAAAAACACTAAAAAAGGAAGGTTCATAAAAATAATAAAAATATCCTACCTAACATAAATGCTGAGCTTTTCAGAGCAGATTCATTCCATGAACTAATGCATAGAGAAGAGGAAGTACTCTTAAGAATAGGTTATTAGGCCACAGCACCTGACAATCCTCTGTAAAAGCAAAGACCATGCAGGACCACACTTTTTCTCAGGGTGTGGGCAGAGGAGAGGATATAACCACCCAGAATGCCTGGTATTGTGCTGGCATTCATTAGGGGTTCTATGTACCTTTCAGTTCAGATTCCAGAGAAGTTTCCAGAATTGAAAAATGAAAAAATATATACATGTTGCTGGGGGTAGGCAGACAGGGCTAAGATCTGTCCCAAGGGCTCTGCCAGGCTCTGTCTGCATAAAGCTGAGGGAGAGGAGTCCTGTGAATCTTAACATGGAGTTTGTGAAGGCTGGCACAATCAACTCTGAGATCTGAGAGAGAAGAAGGAATCTTTAAAGGAGCCACCAGAAACAGAACGTTAGACCAAGGGCCTCCCAGCTTCTCCTTTTCCCACCCTTGCCCATCTCCTGCCCTCAAAAGACTGCCTCACTATTTGCTTGGGAGAACTGGTTAGATGTTTCTTCCCATTTGACTGACCATTCAAACTCAATTCTCAAAGGTCTCTCTTCACTTCTTCCCACACAACCCAAAGGATTTGTAGTCTAGGAAACCAAAGAATAGTTTCATCAATAAATCAATTTATTTAAAAGAATATGTTACAATTAATTACACTAAGTGACATTACCAAACAATTTTAGAGTGGTTAGCTCTAGAACAAGGAATCAAAGAAACACTGTTAGCCATTACGTGTCTGCGTATTTTCTCTTCACATTTCTTAAATCACAAATAAAAAATACAAGATACTGCAGTGAAAATACAATTAGAGTTTCTCTCAAATAAATTAAAAGTGTCATGGCCTGGGGAAAACTGAAGCCCAGCTCACTGGCTTAAAAAGGGAGCATGATATAAAACTGGTGTTCAAGGTTAGCAGTCGCCCAAGTGCCTCCACCCCATATCACTCCCCTCTTCAGTTCTGTTCTTCCCCAGAGCCCTAAGCTTCCCACACAGCCTAGATTATTGCTGAGGAGTGAGCTGATGCTGTCCTGCTATGAGTGACACCTGGCATGATATGCTCAGGTTTAGCAGAAGAGGAAGGTAGAAGGTGTAACTGGAAGATGGGGAGCTGAAGAAGCACACCCACTGCCTCCATTCTCTCTCTTTCTCTTTCTCTTTCTCTCTCTCTCTCTCTCTCTGAGTATTCAACCACATCATCCTCCCTCCAAAAGAAAGCTTATGTGACACAATGAATCTGGCGAAGGAACCTAGCAGTATGTTGGGGTCCCACAGACCAAATGGTTTCTCCTGCTGAATCAATCCAGCCAGAGAGCACGATGGAGAGAAAGGAGGGCATAGTGGTCCCTCCAGGTCTGGAGACTTCAATCAACCAGGATGCAGTCCCCTTTAAGAAAACTGCCTCCTAGGAGCCAGGCCCATAGGTGGTGAATTCTGAGATGAGAGAGATAGAGAGAGAGAGGTGTCACCTCTGGTCAGTGCCCTATATTGCTGCTCCAAGCACTGGGTTTGGAGCTACAAGAGGGGATAACCCAAAGCTACTGGCCTGGGTAACTAAAGGATGAAACTAGATGGGCCAGGCATGGTGATGTTGAACTAATTCCTTCCTGAGAGCTCTGTCCAGGCCTAGAAACTGCCCTGAGCACTCACCTGTGCTGAGCTTAGGCCTAGGTCAAGGGGAGGGCAGAAAAATGGAGAGCAGAATAAAAATATAAAGAGCAGAGAGCCTGAAGCATGGCCCAAGGGAACCTTTCTGCAGGGACAGGTTTCTCAGGGCCTGCATTTTCTCCTGATCCATAAAAAACTCTAAGATTTTACCAAAGAGGATAGAAACTGATTTGGGAGGAGAGGACAACAGGAGACCAGGAAGATCCTGCTGGCTCTGCTGGGGCAAAGCAAGGGAAAGAGGGATTCCCTCCATTTCCCAGAGACAAACTGCAAAAGAAGACTGGGTAGAAGCCTCCCTGGGCAGAACCCAGGACTAAGGAGGGTAATAGGGATTCGAGAAAGGAAGTACAGAGCAAGGGGGGAAAGGAATGTCACACCAACACTGCTTCATGCAAAGAAGAGCTTGATCCTGCGGAGCCCCACAGCCATAGTGACCTCTGCCCCATCACAGGAGGCCTGCTGCAGGTGGAAGAGGAGAAGGCGCAGTCCTCCAGGGTCTCCCTGCTTCCCCCTCCTTGCTGCGACTGGGTGCTTGGTTAGTGGTACAGCCTCAGGTAAGGGCTGTTCCTAAACAGATTCTGCCAACAGGCCAACGCCCTATGCGGCCCTCATCCAAAATCCAAAGCACCAAGTGAATGCTATGCCAGAAAAGGAACAGAGCAGCATCTACCCACTCGAAGGGGCCTCCATCCTAAGGGCATCCCCACTATGTCTTGTATCCGGAGGTCAGCACTTGGGCTGTTGCATGGACTCCCGGATTTGTTCATTCCTCTCCCACTCCGAGGGAACAGGGCAAATTGCTGCTATTGTCACAGTCTGAACACAGCTGGTGCCAAAAGCCTCTTTAGCATCTTGAGTGAGAAATCAACATATCTTCTTTTGAGGGACCTCTGGCTCATTATTAAATTCATCTAAGCCAAAAGAAGTTAATCCTATGTCAAAGCTTTCAAATCAGGGATCATTCTCTGCAACTTTAAACATTCAGCATTCTTACATTTTGCACTCTCTGATCCACCTGGGTTTGGAAAAGGGGAGGGAAGATGGGATGTCCTACAAGACACCACACTCCCTTGGGGAAAGTGGCTGCCAGGATAACAGAGTGAGAGAGACAGAAAAGTGGCTTCACGATGCAAAAACAAGTTACGAAAAAAGAAACTTCAAACCACCCCAACACTGCTCAGTGGAGTTGACTACAACCAACTATGGTGCCTCCCAGTTAGACAAAGCAAAAGATACCACCCTATGGAGGTTTTTGTTTAGAAGGTGAAGAAGAGAAAAAGAAAAGAAGGCTCAAAGATGTGTTTCAGTTACATCAGAGCCTGACTCAGAGCTCCCAATGCAATATCTACAGAGCCCGGGGGCTCAGAATGTTGCCCTACCCTAGTCAGCCCTGGCCCTATATCCTGGGATGGAGCTCTTAGATCTCAAAAGGTCTAACTGCAAGGTCACATGAGGAGCTCTTTGAGGGAAAAAGGTTTTCCTTCCCTTTTAATTAAAAGTTGAGATCCAACCCAAATCAACCATATTCCTACTGCTTCTTCCTGGGTCCTCAGCTGTCTTGGATAGGGACGGTTTGGTTGGCACAGACCACTGACACATTCCAAGTTTCCCCAAGGCCTTGGAGGTATTGTCAGACTCCTCCCCAACACAGCTGTTTAAGGAAGTCACAGAGAATCTACTAGTTATGGGTGGTTACTGGTCAGGAATGGAGTAGGGAAAAGCTCACGTACATAGGACATTTCTTCCTTCCTTTCCCCTAAGTCCAACCTTTGTGCCTAAAGGTATCAGCTTTAACTCTGGTCCCTAGTACTATCCCTGCTTCAGAAATGGGAGGGAAATAGGAAATTGCGACCATGAAGTGTTTCAGGTTCCTGTGGCATCAACCTCCTGAGCCCACCCTCTCCTCCATTCTAGGCCAGTTGAAGGAAAGCACACAAGTGGCCCTGAGGAAGCAGACAGGAAATGTGGAATGTGGCTAGAAAGCCATGAGTGGAAGAAAGAGAGATGGACCAGGGAAATTGTCTTGGAATCAAGAGACCACACCAAGTCTTTAAACTCTCCCTGCAGATCTGCAGCCTGGCTGCCCTTGAGAAACACACCTCTTTCTCCTCCCCAGCAGCCTCTTGGAAAATAAAGAAACTATGCTCCCTGCTCCTCAAACTCTATGGCAACCCATGAGTCAGAATCTTCACTCAATACAAAAAAGGGGGGAAAAAACCCAAGCAGGTTGTAAACTTTTCAAGTCCTTCATGAGGAGAGGTATTTTCCCTGTAAAATTTTTTTTTCCTTTTTAAAGTTTGTTTCAAAATAAAGACAGCAAGAGAGAAGTCATGAATTCTAGTGAAAGGTGTGTAAAAACACAAGCTAAAAAAGGTACTGCCATCAATATGAAATTTAAAAAGAAATATATATATGTATATACGTGCAGCTAATTTGTGTATATATAATTTTTACATACATACATATATATGTCTGAACAGTGCAAATGGATGGAGTTCATAGTTCCAGTTTTAAAAATATAGTACAAGGAGAGTCTGTTGGTATGAGGCCCAGGTGAAAGGACAAAGATACCTTTGGTGAGTTGGTTGGGCTTATTTCTTTTCCTGTCTTAACTCAGTTGACTCCTGGTGCTGACCAATGTGTTGTTCTCTACCAGCTCAATTCCAGAGACATGAAATTCAGAAGAATTATTAATAATATTTAGTTTAGAGCTTTTGAATATAATGACTTTTTTCCTTTTTCTCTTCTTTTGTGTTAATGGTTACTCTGTCTGACACGGGAGACAAAAGGGATAAGAGGATGAGGGTGAAGAGAAGGGAAGGGGATAAGGAAAGGCTAGGTGGCCACATCCCTCTGCTGTGACCTCGCCACCTGGAAAATGTTCTGAAAGGAAAAAAAGAAAAGAGTTATTGGGAAGCCTTAGGTGTCCACATCTCCTCCCATCTGGAGACAACCCCTTAAATAGAAACGGAAGACGTCTGACTGGATGACTCGATCTGATTGGCCTCTTCTACTGATATAACTTCCCATCTAGAATCACAGCCTTTTGGAGCTGGAAGGGACCTTGGACATTAATTATCTGGTTCAGCCTTCCCGTTTTACAGATGAGAAAGGATGAGAAAACTGAGATCTTGGGATGCTGATTTGCCCAAAATCACAGGGAGGAAAAAAAGCCGGTAGAAAATCCAGATCTAATTCCCAGAGCCCAGTGTTCTTTCTTCTACATCAAGAATATAAATTTTCATGTTCCTGACTTTACCTTCTGAACCTCGGAAACATTTTCTTTGAGAATAAGTAGCTAATTATTCAGAATCTTCCAAATTCTGCTCCAGCACTGGCATATACAGACAGTAGTAAAGCAGCAGCAAAAACTTTCCCACACATACACAATCTTGGTTAGCCTAGACAGACTGTCATGGCTCATCCAGTCGGAATGGCTAAAACTGAGGACAGTTGCCCTTCCAGGTCAGGAACAACATGGAGGGTAATTTGATAAAAAAAAAAACAGGCAGAGGAGGATCCATGAAGTCATGAGAGATGGAATAGCCTGTAGCTAATGGCCACCCTCAGACAAAGGAAGAAGCAAGGCTTCTTTTTTTTTTTTTTGTGAGGAAGATCAGCCCTGAGCTAACATCCATGCCAATCCTCCTCTTTTTGCTGAGGAAGACCGGCCCTAAGCTAACATATATTGCCAATCCTCCTCTTTTTTTTTCCCCCTTTTTCTCCCCAAAGCCCCAGTAGACAGTTGTATGTCATAGTTGCATATCCTTCTAGTTGCTGTATGTGGGATGCCACCTCAGCATGACTGGACAAGCAGTGCATCAGTGCGCGCCTAGGATCTGAACCCGGGCCGCCAATAGCAGAGCACGCACACTTAACCACCAAGCCACGGGGCTGGCCCCCAGCAAGGCTTTTTTGTACAGTCCATTCAGCATCCAAAGGCTAACCTCTCTGGAAGGGTATCCTGGCTCACATGGGATAAACAGTCCCTAACTAATATTCCTAGAAAGACAGAGATAGAGGTGAGGGTCCCATGTATTTGGCCATAGGCCTATATATTTTAAACAAACAAAGATGAAAAAGTCAATTCAAGACTGTTTAGAATTACCTCTTTTCTCCACTTGAGCTCGCAGAACACCCTCTCGAAGCATTCATGCATGTAATTGAACTGAAAAAAAACCACAGTAACACTCACTGACTTCTCAAGACCCGGTGCCACAGGGCCATGACTTTGAACTCCTGCCCCCAGGCCCCCCACCTTCCAAACTTGCTCAGCATGACAAGCACCACAAAACCCAGGCCTGGCTCATCTACTATTCTCTGGCTCCTTCTAGTGGTAAGTGTGAGTCAAGCAGGATGTGAAACTGCCAATCCTAGTCAGGCCTAAAGGAAAGACAGGAAGAACCTGGGGCTCTAGGATTCAAACAGGTTCAGATCTCAAGACAACTGCTATCTCTACAGCTTTCTCCAATTATGCATTTAGCTTAAGGAGAACTTTAAGCCCAATCTACTTTCCCCAAGCATGCTTCCCCGTCTACCACTCACATATGGTGTGAAGATTTTGACCCATCGAGGCTTCTTCTCTCCTCGTGCATATTCAAAACAGAAGGCCATTCCTTCTTCATCTGTATCCCATCGCTGCATCTCATCCCATTCAAACGCTATTACCTGGTTCTAAACAACCAAGAACAAGAGCAGAAGTTTGAGAATGCTGGGGAGCTTAGGTAAGATGGTTCTGAACAGACAGCAGAAATGAGTGGAGATGTCCACAACATTTCAGGGAAAAGAGTGTGACAGAAGAATACAAGTCAGTGTAAGTAGCCAGAGAAGGTGAGGAGCAGTGTGGACCCAGTGCCTATTTATCTACCCAGTCGAAACAGTTTTGATTTCATTTCCCCCCAAAGAAGGAACTAAAACATAGCAAGTGAGTAAGTATCAAAGTGTCCCCAGTGCTCCTAGCCCCAGCCCCTTGCTGAACTCTCACCTCCAGCTGTCCTTCTTCAGTGCAGGCATGCAGTTTAAAGTGTGTGATGCTGATGGCTGTGATAACGTGCCCCTTCCTCCTGGAGTCGCAGGCACAGTGGGGGAAGATGATTTCATTATAGCCCTCACAAGTCCTTAGCATGTTGAGGTACTAGGAAAAACAAAAGGAAAGGAGAAACAGTGTTACTATGGAACTAAACCACCAGGAAGAGTTGCTGAGATGGAACAAGAGAAACAACCAAGAGAATCCCCTCGCCCAGCAACCTGAAGACCTTGCCTCTGCTCTCACAGCCATCACTAAGTTGGGACAGGACTCCACGATGATCCTTTATCCCACTTTCACCTCCTTATTCCAATCCCGCCTCCTTTCTCTACTTAAAAAAGATACACAAATGAAGCCAGAAGAGACACTGCAACCAAGACTCTTAGGACTGGAAGGGAACTCACATTGCCATTTAGTCTGGCCCTCTACTTTCACTGTATGTACCCAAAGAACAGGCATCGGATCAATCCTTATAATTAAGGAAAGAGAGCTACTGTTTCTCCTCATGTTTTCTCCAATCAAAAGTTACAATGTGACGAGGATTAAGTTACCCCAAATCTCATACTCATAAAATGTTTAAGCTGAAAGAGACTTTAAAAGCTATTTTACAGAAACCCCGAGTAATATGAGACTTGCTTCAGGTCACAGGTAATAATAAGGAGCACAAGCAGGATTAGAAGCCAAGCTTAGTTTCTAGGCCACTCTGCTTCTTTCTCTACCACCAACTAATCTCCACATCAGCCCCACTGTCCCCTGGGTCTCCAATATATATGCCTTCTTAAAAAGCATGCGGACCAAAATCAAGCAACATATATCACCTTCACAGCTACAATGCTACAAGACTAATCCAGAGAGGTCTCTGAAATACTGACTCTAACTCAGTTCTTTGTCCTTCTCCTCTACAGTTAAGGTTGGCCTCTCTTTTACTCAACTCACTATTTTGAGTTGAGAGGAGAGAGAGTCATAGAAGATGAGCAAGAAAGAGAGAAGAGAAATACGGAAAAGATGATAAGGAAAAACAAACGACGACTCATGGACTCTGACCTGGTTTCCTCTCAGAGAGTACCTGAGAAATAGGCAAATAGCCTTGTACCTCCACACCCCTAGTTGCATGTCACACAGGAAGAACAGGACACACTGGTGATGTGTGCAGAATGTTGGAGAGAAGACAAAGACACAGCACTCTAGAAGACCTCAACTAGATGGGCAGGGATACTACAGAATACACCGGAGAGTTGCCTTCTGCCTTACCAAGAGAGAAGAGAAGGGACACAGGCACAAAAAGGACCCTCGGCAACCTGTGGCTCTGGTACCAATGAATGTCACCTAAGACTGTTGCTACTGCCACCAGGACTGTCTGGGAAGACTTAAGGCCCAGGGAAAAATCACACCACATGCTTCCTTCCCTACTTTGTATTTACTTTTGCTTAGGTAAAATAATAGCAACTTCGAAGGTGAAAAATTATAAAAGGGTAGCAAGAACACAGAGACAGGGTCAATCCAGAAGTGCCACAATACTTCACTTGCATCATTTTTCTTCTCTCATTTCTCTCTCCTTCTATCACCCTACTCCAGCCCCCTTTATCACCATCCTTCCTGTATCAGTGATAAACGTGGATACTGCTGAGCCCTGCTATTGGCACTATGAACAAAAGAAAGCCCTAGTCACTATACCTTGGTAAATATGACAGGCAGTGGGTGGTATAGGAGAGAACTCCTCTGGGGTTATAACAAGCAGCAAAAATTGGGATAGGTAGCAGTACACAGAGAAGTGATCAAGAGCCTGGGCCCAGACTGCCCTGGGCTTGAATCCCGGCCCCATCACTTCCTAACTGTGTAACCGTGGCAAGTTATTTGAACTCAAGCAAATGACTAAATCCTCGGAGCATTAGTTTCCTCTTCCGTAAAAAGGGAAATAATAATAGCACCAATATCATACAGTTATTTGTGAACATTAAAGTATTCAGCACAGTACTTAGTACATAATTAGGTATTCAACAAATGATAGCTTAAAAAAAAAATTTTAAAGCCTCCATTATCCTTAGCCAGAGGGCTCACCTATTTTCTCTCTGAAGAAAGCCCTGTGAAATGATGTATATGGAAATTGCTGTTAAAAACGTGAGTGAGATAGATGAAACATGAATAGCAGAAAGTTGAAGGCTGCTAAAGCTGGGTAATGGGTACATGGGGACTAAATGTGCTATTCTTTCAAATTCTGTATATATTTCAAAATGTCTACAATAAAATGTGAAAAGAAAAAGGAGAATACCCTGCAACCAGGCCTCCAGCACTCAATCCCAGTCACCCTCCTACGACAGTCATCGGAAACTTTCTACATGGCTCAATAAGCAGCAAATGCTGCTCAAAGATGGTTAAGACCCCTGCAAACGCCAGTCAGTTGTCAGGGAGCCTTGAGACGAGCTCTACTTCAAGAAAAAAGTTCTCCTTCAAGAAAAAAGGTTTCCATATAACACATTTGCTGAGAGTTCTCTTCTTTGAGAGGTACCACTGTTGTTTTTTTTTTTTTTTTTTTTTTAAAGATTTTATTTATTCATTTTTTCCCCCCAAAGCCCCAGCAGACAGCTGCATGTCGCAGGTTCACATCCCTCCAGTTGCTGTACGTGGGACTCGGCCCCGGGCTGGACGGAGAAGTGGTGCCCCGGGGCGCGCCCGGGATCCGAACCCGGGCCGCCAGCATCAGAGCACGCGCACCCAACCGCCAAGCCACGGAGCCGGCCCACCACTGTTGTTTTGAAAAATATTTCTGCCATATTCCTCACTGGGAGTTTGCTGTATAGATTTTCTAAAATGAGAGAAACGTGTAGACAAAGGGAGGGATTAGAAAAGATATCAGAAGAGACATAGAGCTCTGCATATCTTGAACTCTCTCCTTGTGCCCTTGTGTAAATTACTCTACCTGGGGACCTCCCCTCTGCCGTCTGGAAATAAAGGACACTGCTGCCACCCTCTCTTCTCCAATGTGGGGACAAACATCGGCTTTGGAACCAGACAGAAATGGGTTCAAATCCAAGTTCCACTTCTGACAAGCTATATGATCTTGCGTAAGAATCTTCATCTCTCAGACTCCACTTCTCCTCTGTAAACTGGGGATAACACCTGCATAGTTGTTACAAGGAGGAAATGAGAATGTGCATACAGTGCCTAGAAGAGTACCAGGCATATAATATGTGCTCCTCTTTCTCCCCTTTGAATTAAAAGGCTGATTTATCCCTCCATATTCAAGAATGTAGTCCTTGAAAGCAAAAGACCTTCAGGGGACTTCCTAATGGCATAAGGTCTAAACATAACCTGAATGAAAACTAAGGGCACCTGTGGCCTTGGTGAGACGACAGAGGTAAAATCTCACTGGGGAAACAAGGTTTTCAGAGGTTCTCGGGTCAGGTAGTATTTCTCAGCTTTATGTGGGCAATCTCTACATTCCTAGATTTGCACAAAGTATAAAGGGAAGAAACATTTAAAATTTTACACAAATCCAAAATTTCCAAAAGAAAAGTGAATTTTTCCTTTCAAACATATTTACATAAGGGTGTAGCTATACATTTAAAACACAAAACTATCCTGTCCATTCTCCTTTCATATTAAATTTTGAGTGGCTAAATATGTATCCTAAATTACCTTCCTTGATTCACATACCACTGAGATTATGGCCCACCTTAGGCCAGAGAAGAGGAAAGGTATAGCATGGGACATTTTATAAATGTTCAATATTCAGCAAGATAGGTAAATACAGAAATAGTACAGTTATTAAAGCAGAGACGCAGTACTTAACAGAGCAGAACACTTTTGGTGAGTGGGCTGAGGCCCATTCTGGAGAACTCACTGTTCTACCAAACAACCTGCCAAGTGTCAGATCAGGTCTAAAATTGAATTAAGGGCTTGAGAGAAACCTTCGGAGCCAACTCTCCCAAACTCCTGGGGTAGTGATTCTGAAGAACTTAAAGTTTCAGAATCACCTGGGTGCTTCTGTAAAAATCTTTACCAAGATTCCTAGATCCTACTCCCAGAGATCCTGGCTTAGTAAATGTGAGGTGGAGTCTAGAAATCTGAATTTTAAGTAGGCTTCAAAAGTGATTCCCATGTAATTAAGCTGGGGACCACACTTTGAGAAACAATGACTTTCACATATACTGCCTTGTGTGAAAACCATTAAAAATCATGTTCAGAAACACTAACACAGAAACTTCTTGTTTGCCAGTTCAACAATGGCATAATCGGGCCACTCCAACATAAGAAAAACACAAGTTACACATGTCTACTGTTTGTATGAGTAAAAAAAAGAGAAAAAAGAAAAACCAAAATCTCTCTTGTACATTATATTCTCAACCATCAAAATCTGAGGTTCCATCTAACTTTGTAAATAAGTAGAAAACAAAAACATTTTTGGTCACACTGGGTATTACAAACTATGGCAAAGATACGATCTGTCCTCTATATTTGGAGAGCAAGGGGACTTACACAAAGCTTATTTACCTACTAAGAACTCTGAAGCATTTTGTCAAGATTCTACTTGATAGCTACCAATCTGAACATCCTTATTTTACAGAAAAGAAATTAAACTGAGAAGTTTGTTGAATTGCTAAAGGTCGCAGTGATTTGGCCTAATCTTAGACCTACACCACAGTAAATTGCTACAGATAATGGTATCAAGATCTATGGACTCTGAAGGGTCCATCTGAGTCAGAAGTTTCAACGTGCTGACCATGACCATTGGCTAGGCTAATGTCTCTGAACACTAATACTTGAACACATAAAATTATACTTGAATAAAATTCAAACTTTGGGGGGCTTTCTTTAAAATCTGCAGTATTATGGGGCTAGTACACACATATGTTGGCACTAGGTTTTCAAGAAAATAGAATTCCATAAATGTTTAAGCACATTTTATACTCAATTTTGATGACCCATGGGGAAACATATCAACTGTACTCAAGTTCTTAACTGCGTGACTACAAGATACAAACTTGAGTCTAAAAAAAATTTCATAATAAACTACTATGCTTGTTAAATTCAGATTTTCTGTATTTGGCCACAGAACAACCCAAACCTATTTATTTCTCTAGCACCTTGCACTGTGCCTGGCACACACCTGGTGCTCAACAAATATATTTTGTTGAATGCATAAATGGAAGATAGTGTATTTGGAGTACTATACGTGCAAAGAAACAATATGTATTCCATACTGGTATTATCAGAAGCCCTTATGAAATTACCTCGATTCTGCTGGCTTTGGCAAAGGCAAAGAACTATTAGAGAGGTTGATGGCCCTTTAGTATTTGGCCCTTTGCACCCAAAAAGATGCAGATGTGTGTCAGAATCATGTATTAATATATAGGCAGAACAGGTGGAAGTTGAGTTTTAAAATCCTCTCTCCCACATAGTAAAATTCCCTTAACCAAAATTCTGCCAAGACTTAATTCTATTTAAAAGATTTTTGTGTTGTCTGTGTCAGCCTGTTGGTATGCAGAACATTCGTATATGGTTCTCTGATCTATGGCAATTTTCTAAAGCAAAGAGATGTATTACTTTTCGTCACATTAGTGATAAAATAACTATCCCAGCTAGACATAAGATTACAGACTAAGTTCAATGGCTGACTTGTTTGCATTCTTATTCCAACCCAATTATCTAGATGGATGAACATTCCCTCAAAGAAAGTACAAAAGAAATTCAAGTGACCTATCGGATTCATTACCATTGCAATTCCTGCCTTGTGTGAAATCACGAAAAATTATAATTAGAAAATTTCCAACTATATGTGAATTTGCTAAGAAAGAAATTTTAAAATGCTATGAATGGAAGTTTTTGTAAGCATTCTTTACAAATTTTACTTTTGACAATTTCCATTCCCGTATTTATGGCAGATACAAATTGAAAACTAATTTTAAAACATTTAGGGAATATCCTAGGCAGCCCTCTCCAACAGAACTTTCTATGGTGACGAAAATGTTCTATATCTGAGCTGTCCAATTAAGTAGCTACTAGCCACGTGTGGCTACTCAACACTTGAAATGTGGTTAGTGCATGTGAGAAATTGAATTTTAAATTTTACTTAATTTAAATGAATTTAAAATTAAATTTAAATAGCCACATGAGGCTATCAAATTGAACAGCACAGCTCTAGGATACCATACTAACCAAAAGCACTACTAAGCATAAATGTTTAAGCAACTGCAGAGAAGGAAGCTGTAATAGCAAATGATTTTGTGATTTCTAAACAACTAAAATAATTTCTAACATTAAAAAACTAAATATCAATTTTTATTGAATCTTTTTTTTTAAATAATTTTATTTATTTATTTAATTTTCCCCCCAAAGCCCCAGTAGATAGTTGTATGTCATAGCTGCACATCCTTCTAGTTGCTGTATGTGGGACGCGGCCTCAGCATGGCTGGAGAAGTGGTGCATCGGTGCATGCCCAGGATCCGAACCCGGGCCGCCAGCAGCGAAGCGCACGCACTTAACCACTAAGCCACAGGGCCGGCCCTATTGAATCTTTATCATATCACTAGTTTTGCACATCTTTTGTTTTATAGCTTTTTTTAAGCAAAAAGAATACTGTTTGGTTATTATTAATAATATAATAAAGTTATACCTACATATAGCAAAATAAGCTCTTTGTGTGCTAAATGGAGGAACACAATGGATTTTACCTCAAGGTCTATATCCCTCTACTTTTTTTAAATTAGTTAAGACATTGACCAGGTTGCAACATCTTTCAAAAATAACTGGAACAACAGGTTTAAGAGATAAGAAGGGACATTTTATAAAGAGATGGTGGGGCCATAAACCTACCATGACCATTTTCCTTTGTTCATACAGCTTCTGTAATTGGTAGGACTTTTCCTCTGCTTTGATGTAACCTTTTTTCACATCATCAACAGCCTGTCACCAAAACAAAGGCAGGGAAGAAAGGAATGTAAAAATCATTATCAAGTACATCCTCAATAAAAATAAAGAGACACAGATTCGTTTTCAGAAGAATTCTTATCCATGTGGACCATCATCATCATCACCAGTGAACTCTGCCATGTGGGTATATTATTAGAATAAGTAGCAATTAAAGAGTGTCTGGTATGTGCTCAAGGATTGCTCTAGGTACATGAGGGATCTGGTTTCTTGTGTTACAAGATTTAAATTCCAGTTAATTTATACATGTGAAACAGAGAACAAGGAAAGATAGTATATCATACTGTATTAAAGGTAACAATAAAGTAGCAAAAACGTGTGGCATAGATAAGTGATAATATGCAGTCAGAACAGGAGAGCTTACTGCTAACTAGTTGTCAGGGAAACCTTGATTGGACCCCAAAGGATAGGCTGAATAAAAGAAACTACAAGCTGAAGTCAGGAAATAGAAATGGGTTTGAGCTTAAATACATTCAAGAGACAGATCTGCTTGATTTGAATAAAGGGTGCATGCTAGGGGACAATGAAAGACAATGCTGGATGGGTAGGTTAATAGATTAGGGAGGATCCTAAAAAGCAGGCACAGGAATCTGGACTTAAGGACAGCAGGGAGCCAAAATAAGCATTAAAAAAATAGTTTTTTTAAAAGAAAGATTGATTGGCATATGAATGCCAAATGACTTAAGCTAAGGAGAGAATGAAATAAGGGAGATTGACGATGTTGTGGTTATTTTAAGCATGAAGTGAAACAAGATCTTAAACTAGGGTGGTAGCAATTGGAAGAGAGGAAGTAATAAACGTGAGACTATGAACAGAAAAAAATCTCAGATAGGACTTGATACAGGCACAAAGGTACCCAAGCATAATATGCTAATTCTAAACTACACCTGGTTCAGCTATATGAAATACGCATCCCCTTCCTAACCTCACTCCACCTCTCCTCCTCCCCAAGAAAAACTTTAAAATCTAACAGAAGGGAAAACTGATCTCTGGGAGAAAAAAAGAAAAAGAACAAATAGAATCATTTGTCCAGGGCATTCAGAATCTAACCTCAGTGAGTTACTGCAAGGACAAGTCTATGCAGGCACCAGGCTGGGGCCGACTTGAACCTTTTATCAGAAGACTGCCCATTTCCTTAAGTAGAAATCATTCCCTATAGTCTTTTTTTGTTTTTAATATTTTTATTTTTCTTGTGAGGAAGATCAGCCCTGAGCTAACATCTGATGCTGGTCATCCTCTTTTTTGCTGAGAAAGACTGGCCCTGAGTTAACATCCGTGCCCAGCTTCCTCTACTTTATATGGGATGCCGCTACAGCATGGCGTGACACACGGTGCGTAGGTGCGCGCCCGGGATACTAACCTGTGAACCCCGGGCCGCCGAAGTGGAGTGCCGGCACTCAACCGCTTGCACCACCAGGCAGGCCCCTCCTATAGTCTTTTAAGGGAAAATGTTTGCATAACAGAATGAATTCAGGATTGAAGTCAAGAGAATAGTTCAACTTCTAGCTCTGTCACCTATCAATGAGCGCTTGAGTAAGTCACTTAAACCCTCTCAGTCTGTAAAACAGTAATAATACTCATCTCATAGGTAGACAACAAAATGAGATAGATGTTAAGAGTTTTGTAAAGTATATGTAAATAGTTATTATTAGCATCACTGCTATTAGTATTATTTAGCTAAGTTCCTCTAAGAACCACACAAGGAGATTAATGTCCTGCCTGGGACTGCCTAATGGAAAGATTATGCCAGTCTCTCCCCAATCCTAGTCATACAAGCAAGGATTCACTTAGGCACAGAGGATTATATCCACAGAGGGGATGCTCAATAAGAACTGCCACATGTCCTGAAGAATGTGAACACTTGGTTATTTATTACCAAAAGATTTGACTGCTCTAGGCCAAATTTAAACCAGTTACTGAAAAGCTGGGAGAGAAAGAAGGGAAACAAATAAATACATATTGGTCTGTCTATTCAGTTTCCCATGTAACTTAGTGTTATTAGCTAAGGGAAAAGGCTCTTCTGATGACCAAATAAAAATACTGTATTTCTGTTTTGTTCGTATCCCCAATACCGAGAACTGTGTCTGACTTGTTATGGCCCTTAAATATTTGATGAACATATCCCCAAAGTCATAGCAACTCTAAGCGAACTGTTTTCATGTAGGGCAGTAACAATGTTCTCTCCTTTCTTATTTCTAATCAAGATTATATTGCTTGGGCCGGCCCCGTGGCTTAGCGGTTAAGTGCGCGCGCTCTGATGCTGGCGGCCCGGGTTCGGATCCCGGGAGCGCCCCGAGGCACCACTTCTCCGTCCAACGCGAGGCCGAGTCCCACGTACAGCAACTAGAAGGATGTGAACCTATGACGTACAACTATCTACTGGGGCTTTGGGG